CATATGAGAGAAATAAAATCACATAATGAGAATTTATTTAATTCTCAATTTTTAATTTTTTTGGCTCAACGAATTAAGAGAAGTGAGATTACTTTATCTATCCCTATTTCTCTCTACTAGTCACACTCTTAACAATATATTGTAATAATTCACTCAAAATATATATAATATTAATACAACACACTATATCATATTTGTATAGACAACGCATGTTGATTCAATCAAAAATATTTTTAAAAGGGAAAAGTATATCATTAAAATTATAATACATCCATCTCATATCTATATATTCATTTACTTTTCATACGGAGTTTTAGAAATATTAGTATTATATTGGGATTAAATAAAAATAAATATAAAAAAACTAAATTAATCTTATTAGTATGGTATGATATAAAAACAATGACATTTGTGTAATATATTATAAATTGGAAGAGTATTTGTAATGTTAGGTTAATAGTACAATTACTAAAAATATAAATTAATACTTTGTTATGAGAATGACCAAAATGAAAAAATAGATAGATTGTTAGGGACGGAAAGAGTATTCCAAGTAGGTTTACATAATTGGGTTTGTTCACTTTTTGTTTTTAAGGACTGTATTTTTTATGTTATATATAAAAAATCGTTTTGATAATATAAAAAATAATATTTTATTTTGAATTGTTAAATTTTGTAAATAAATAAAAATTATATTATATATTTATGTTAATATATATTATATTTTTTATAATATTTATAAGCAATTGTATCACGAAAAATAGATTGTATTAACAAAGCGTATATACATATCACATACGCTATATCCATTTAGTATGGAATGATACTTTCATGGATTTTTTTTTTTTTAAATAAAATTTATGTGTGCCCAATACAAAATTTTAGTTAAATTTCTCAAACCATTCCAAAAAAAATAAAAATAAAAATGTACTCTCTTCGTCCAATTAAAAAATATATATATTTTTATTTTGGGATATTCAATTACAAAATAAACATCTCATTAAATACCTCATTTTTTTCCACAAATACTCTTACTTTATATCACACTGTTATTTTTATACAAAAAAGCAAGGGCAAAAATATCATTATATTATTTTTAACTATCCACTATAATTAAAATATTATTATTTCTTAAGCACTGCGGTAAAAGTAAATATTTCCTTTCTATGTGAGCGGAAGGTGTATTGGTTTTGAGTTTTTCTGTAAATAGTGATTTGAATATAAATTTTATAAAATAAAATATGATATAGTTTGAGTGTTTTGATTTTGAATAATAAAATTTTGAATATAAATATTTGTTTGACATGTTATAAAAAAGTTGTTGATTTAAAATTAATTTTTAATAAATATAAAAAAATATTTAATTTGATATATATTTTTTAAAAAGTTCATTAATAATAAAAAAAATTTTTAAAAAATGCGTGAAAAGTGTACTAATTTGCTCTATTGATTTTTTTTTTTTTTTTTAATTTTTCAATAGTAAGAATATATTTTATACTTGAACACTATTCAATTATTTCATGATATATATTTATGAGTAAGAACAACTACATTAATTATTATTTGTAATATATATTTATTAAGATGAAAGCTATAAAGTATTAAAATAATAAAAATGAATACATATTGTTAATTGAATGAAAAAATTATGATAAATTTTTAATTTGGAAATAACAACAAAAATTTAACTGGACATAATATAATGTAATTTAAAATAAATTCATATGTCCACGAGAAAATGCAGTAAAAATCTACTAATCAAATTAAAAGGAGTTCCCACGACAATGGATCCATAAAATTATCACCAAAAATCAATAAGTATCAAAAGAAACCCAATGAACATATATATAACAAATACATACAATATAAGATTATATTATTCATATTTTGTATTATACATAAGATATATTGTATATATTTATTACGTATGTTGATTCTGCCAAAACAAAATTGTTCCTTTTGACTCCAAAAATTCATTACCAAGATATTATCCAAATATGAAGCATAATCTGAAGAGCAGTATATATACCTAACTTGTCTCGCGTCTCTCAGCGGGGCTTCGTTTCTTAATTCTTTGCATGCATCTATGTACTCTCTTGTTTCGTGTTGGGTTCGTATTGATTTATCATGGAGTGCAGATATGTTTGTGATCTGAAGACTCGACTATTTTAGCTTCTCTGTGATATGTATTTCCACGTCCTGAAGTTGGAGGCTTTTAATTGATTATGTTAAATTGATGGTGTTTGGTATTCTAAGAATTGTTAAGTTAATGCGGTTTGTTAAGTAGGGATTTTGTGATCCATGTTTTAGGCCATTGTGGTTTTTTGCACATTAGAAATTTTTTGCCTTGTTTAAAAGTTTAGGTTGCCTTTGGAATTCGGAAAAGATCGCATTAACAGTGCTCGAGTTTTTATGAGATGTTGTATATCATTCGCTATTGATAGGATTCTATGGTAGTATATTAATTTTATATTTTATTAGAGTCTTTACGAAGACAATCATGAAATAGTTATTTATGGACTTTTTAAAAAAAATGCTACTAATATTAGTCAAAAAGGTTATTAATTTTATATTTTAGTAGAGTCAATATTTTGTATGAATATCCGGTCAGAGAATTTCTATTTTGTCCGAATGAGCTTGTTTTTCCTTGGGGAAACAATTCATTTCCATTGAAGCTTATATAGAAACTATCTCATGAATATTGCTTTCATATTTGCAATATCCTTTATATGAAAAAGCTTTAGTAAATATTTTTTTCTCATTTCGAAGGGAGGAGGGGTGTTACCGGGAAAAATTGATATATGCGATATTAGATAAATATTTTGTTGTATTTTAGACGGTTTTTGGATACTAATTTTGTATATATGCTCATAATTGTGTGTTTTTGAACTTTCTACTAGGCGTTGAGGAGTTGGCAAATTTTGGGCATATTGGAGAGAAAAACAGAACGCAGGAAGTCCTTAGGCATGATCACGAAGGTCCTCTGGGGTTAATTAGCAATTTTAGAATTGTTTGGTTTAAAGTGCAAAGGAGATCTAAAGTGATTAATTGAAAAGGAGAGTTAGGGTCAATAAAGAAGGGGAAGAAGAAACGCAAAACCACGATCTCACCTACAACCTATTTCTGAAAGAGAAGAGAAGCGAAGGAAGAACACTTCGTACGGGAACTTTGGAGAGCAACGCAGAAGAACTTCCGGGCACCTTTTTCTTCATTTCTAGAATTGGTTTGTTGTCGATTTTTAAACTTGAAGGCATGATGAACTCTTTGATTTATTTTATATTTTTTATTGCTATGGATTGCGAGTAGTTTCATTTCTAGTGTAGGTATGAATTGATATTCGGGATTGAAATTGTGAGACTTGGTTTCGATTGGAATTGGTGTTCATCGATGTTGGGCATTTTTAATTCTTCTAATTGATTAGTTTAGAAATCTTGAATTGATTATTACGCACGTATCAATTTAGAATTTCATAGCTATATTGGGGATTGACATACGTAATTGTGTAATTTTCCAATTGGCGTAGCAACCTAGAGAAGAACACTCTAGAGAAGAATTAAAATCAATTTTAAACAAATCCTCGTAGGAGCTTGTTAAATTGAATTGGGCTTTTCTAGTTTTTACTGCTGTCGAGTTAGAAAACTATGGTAGTACCTAGGATTCTTTCCCGATTAGAGAAATAGCTAACGGTCGTACCTTAGCTATCGAAAAAGTAAGGAAATATTGGTTGTGAACGCGTGTAGATCAATTATAACCAATTTATCCAAGTAGTCGATGAATTTGACTTTTAATCGATGATCAAATTTCATATCCCGAATAAAAAAATTCATGCCTATGCTAGAGTTTAATTATATTTGGTAAACCGCTAATTTTGCATTCTAGTGAAGTTGCGTTTATTGAGTAAATTTTATTCTTCCTTATTTAGTGTGATAATCAAATCCCCCTAATATATATTAATATAATTATAATCAATCAAATAGAGAAAGAATTACTATTTCTCTGCGGAGATGACCCTACTCACTACTGCTAAACTGCATATTTTGGGATGTAGGAATTGATATTTTATTTTGCAGTTGTGCGACAGGCTAGCAATTCTAGCGCTGTTGCCGGGGAACAGTATAAGAATTTTTGATGTTTGGTTGTTTCTTTTGTTTATATTTAACTCTATTTTTCGCTTAATGGTTTATGCCTTGAACTGGTCGTATAGGTGAATTAGTTTTTGATTCAGAAATTGAAAGGAATGCACGCCGTTTGAGGAAAGAAGCTAGAGAGCGAAAAAGAGTTGAAAAAGAAGTTGAGTCGCCGAAACCTGACTTAGCTATCCAACTGGCTGACACTTCTAGTTCCGAAGAGAGTGAAGAGGCCAAGGGAGTTGAAGAACTAGTGATACATCCAATGAAATGGCAAAGAACTCTTAGGGAGCTAGCTGCTCCCGATTTAATTCAGCATCCATTGTGTATTATTTTTCCTGCTATAGCCGATAATACGGCATTTGAACTTAAATCTGGACTAATTCATTTATTGCTGTCTTTTCATGGTTTGGCAAGTGAGGAACCACACAAGCACTTGAAGGAATTCGATATGGTGTGTACGAGCATGAAACCACTGGGAATCACTGAGGAGCAGATAAAACTCCGAGCTTTTCCATTCTCTTGAAAGATGCAGCCAAGGATTGGTTGTTCAACTTGCCCGCCGGGAGTGTCACCATGTTGATGGATATGAAGAGCAAGTTCCTCGAAAGGTTCGTTCCCGCATCCTGGGCTGCAAATTTGCAAAAAGAGATTTGTGGCATCAAACAAATATCAGGGGAGTCTTTATACGAGTATTGGGATCGATTTAATAAGTTAATTGCTAAATGTCCGCAACATCAAATTTTTGAGCAACTTTTAATTCAATATTTTTATGAAGGACTAACTTCTACTGACAGGAGGATTATTGATGTTGCCAGTGGATGAGCTCTCATGAACAAGACTCCAAAAGAAGCTTGAGAATTGCTGAACGATATGGCCATGAACTCTCAACAATTTGGGCCAAGGTATGTCGTGGGAGTGAAAGAAGCTGTTGAGGTAAGTTCTCCTATGCAACAACAATTGAATGAGCTAACTGCTTTTGTGAGGAAACTTGTTGTAGGTAATGCTCAAGTGAAGCCGTGTGGAATTTGTGGGAGTGTTGAGCATCCCACGGATGCTTGTCTCACACTAAGAGAATAGGTGGAAGTGAATGCTGCAGGTTTTGCACCAAGAAGGGCTTATGACCCCTATTTAAACACATTTAACTCGGGATGTCGAGATCACCCCAACTTTAGTTATGGGAATCAACAATCCTATGGTCAACAACAACCGCCAGGTTTCAAGTCATATGGACAACAACAACCACAAATGACCATGCCCCAAGCCTCTATGCTTGGTAACTCTTTATATGATATGGTGAAATCAATTGAGTCTAATTTTTTGCAATTTCAACAAGGGACAAGAACTAGTATAAAAAACTTGGAAGATCAAATGTCTCAAGTAGTGAATGAGGTGCGGGATATAAAAAAGAGGGAGAAAGGCAAGCTACCGGCTCGAACCCATATGAACACGAGCAATGTTAGTTCAATGGTTTTGCTAAGTGGTAAGGATTTAGAAGGTCTGAAGGTTGTTACACAAAAAGAGAAAGCTGAAGAGGAGATTGAGAAGGAGATTGAGCAAGAAGCGAACAAGTCAACTGATCAGGTGAATTCTAAACCTCATATTCAATCCACTTCTAATATTGCTCCATTTCCTTACAGGTTAATGAAACCGGCTAAAAGCGATAAAGACAAAGAGATCATAGAGATGTTTAAGAAAGTGGAGCTAAGCATTCCTTTGCTTGACGCAATTAAGCAAGTCCCCTGTTTTGCCAAATTTTTGAAAGAGCTGTGTACCAAGAAGAAGAAATTGAGAGGGGATGAAAATGTGCTAGCTGGAGAGATTGTGTCCGCCGTGCTGCAAAGAAAATTGCCACAAAGATGCGGAGATCCAAGTATGTTTGTCGTCCCGTGCAAAATAGGTAAGATGGAAATTAGAAGAGCTATGCTAGATTTAGGTGCAGCCATTAACGTTATGCCTAAGTCTATTTTTAACTCTTTGAACATTGGGCCTTTGAAAGAAACAGGGATAGTGATTCAACTAGCTGATAGAACCAATGCTCACCCTGAAGGGATAATTGAGGATGTTCTTGTGCAAGTGAATGAGTTAATATTCCCTGTTGATTTCTATGTTTTAGATATGCATGATGAAAATTCGCCTAATCCTTCACCTATTCTGCTTGGACGCCCTTTTATGTGTACTGCACACACAAAAATTGATGTTAGGACAGGGACACTCACCATGGAATTCGAAGGTGTAATGGTTCATATCAATATTTTTGATGAATCGAATGATCCACACTACAAGAAAATATTATTTTTGTAACGAGATTTTTTTGTCTTTAAATCTACTTTTTTCGTTACTAATGATATTAGAGACGGAATTAATGATAGAATTACATTAGCTACATGATCTTTAGGGACGAAATTCCGTTACAAATATACTATTTTTTTTTTGTAGTGCCAGTGGAACCTCATGCTTTGTATTGTGTAGATGTCCTTGATCAAAATGTGCAGAAAGTCTTTGAAGTTGGAGAAATAAGAAAATTGCAGTTGCAAGAGTTTGAGGAAATTCATAACAAAGCTTTCGAGAATGCTAGGATTAATAAAGGAAATAGTAAGGAATTTCATGATCCAAATATTTTGAGAAAAGATTTTAATGTTGGTCAAAAGGTTTTGCTCTATCCTTATCGCCTTAAACTGTTTCCGGGTAAGCTTCGCTCTCGATGGATAGGTCCATTTTTTATTACTAACATGTTTCCGTATGGTGCAATTGAGATTCAAAGTCTAAGCACGAAAAAACGGTTTGTTGTGAATGGGCACCGTCTTAAGCCTTACTATGAGGGATACCAAAGCAAAGAAGTGGAGTGCGTAGCTCTCTTTGAGCCGTGTGATTAGCTTAAGAGATGTTGTGTCGAGCCAAAGACAATAAACAAAGGCGCTTCTTGGGAAGCAACCCAAATGTTTTGATTTGATTTTGTGTGCTTTTAGTTTTGTTGTGTTTCGGAGTCAATTTCATGCCTTGTTTTGGTGTTTTGATGACAGGTGAAATTTTTGTGGTTGAGTGAAGTATAATGAGAATGATTTTTAGGCGTGGCTACGCATCCAGTGTGTTGTGATTGATGAGAGGGAGAAATTTTTAAAGAAATCAGAACGTAAAACTTCTTTGGGCATGATCACATCTAATGAAGTCTTACATTCTGAAAAATTGTGTACAAAGAGAGTTTATTTTGAGGATTTATTATATATATTATATTTATTATTATTATTATGAAATTTAATATTACTATATTTATTTTTATTTCTATAATAAATATTATAATAGCTATTAAATTTTATTTTATTTTTATTATATATTTTGTTTCTATATTTATTATTATTATAGTTACTATATTTATTCTTATTATTATATTTATTACTACATCTATAATTATGATTATTATGATATTTATTACTATATTTATTATTATTTCTATAATTATAATTATTATTATAGTAATTACATCTTAATTTTTTTTATTTCCATAGTTATTATTATATCCATAATTACTATTACGTTTATTATTATTACTATATTTATTATCCTTACTATAATAATTATTATATTCAATATTATTATTATTATTATTATTATTATTATTATTATTATTATTATTATTATTATTGTTATTACACTCTTAAAACCCTAATTCTTTTTTCTCTCTCCCTCACTCTCTCACAGGAGCCGCCGCCTCCCTCTTTTTTCCGCCGGTTTGAACTGTTCACCATTCCACCGCCCCTCCGCGACGTCACCCATCAGTCGCCACTGTTTTTCAGCCGGTCCGCGCCACCAGCCAGCTGCCTTTTTCGTTGCTTCAATTTTCTCCAGTTTGCCGATTTGATTTCAGGGAGTTCTTCTACTTTTTAATCTATTGCATTCTCTTGGTTAAACTCTATCGATTATTGCCTAGATATTATATAAAATCAGTTGACTATGAAAAATTTTAATTTGGACAATTTTCGTAGAGGTTCTTTGATGCAATCGATAAACGAATGCATATAGATGATTGAGAATGATGTTGTGATGGTGAAATTGTCAATTGCACATTGAATACATGTTTGAGATTGATGTTGGGTGTTGGGGCTAAATTATTAAGGAATTATAATTTGGATGTTGAATTCACTTTCGTATAGGCACCATGGGCAAAGTGCGAGTGTCAAAAATTTGGCCGGTAGAATGGCCCTTTAAGGGAAATTGGACTCCATTGAACAGCACATAAGCGCCCCTTGCCGGTCGTAAGCGGGCCGGTCGCCCCCACCTATTCCAGGGAAGTTTCTTTTCTTCTTTGTTTTATTTCATCTTTATTCTTGCAATAGGGACATTGCACTAATTAGGTGGGGGGGGGGGGGGGAGATTAGAATTTTTGATGCGATATAATGCTTTATTTTGATAACTTTCCTCCATGTCTTCTTGTGTATTTTGAGCCGAGGTTGTTGTGCTTACTTAGTTCATTAGGATCATGCCGTGTTTGTTGATGAAGTTAAATGACGAGTGTGCTTAGCCTTCTAACAAAGAACCCTTAAGTGAGTTATTTGAGCTTTATTTGAGCAAATTCACTCATACATATCATATATGCTCATTTTTTTTGGATTGTGTGAACATATATTGTATTTGACTACCTAGAACTTGCTTGTTTATGTTTATTGACTCCGCGTTTATTGAGAATTGATGGGATTAAAATGATAAGGCACTAGGTTTACCCTTGTTGGCCTTAATTTCTTACTTTCACCCCTATTATCCCCTAGTGAACCAAAGTTTGAGCTTAATGTTATTATCCTATTTTTCTTGGTTCATATTTAACCCAAGCCGATATGCCTTTTTCTTGGAATAAGCCGAATGTTTACTTGAACCCATGGGAACTCGAGGATTGTTCTTTGATTCATTACATTAGATTATTTAGAGTTGCATATCATCACTATATTATTCGATAGTTGCATTTGAAAGTTCTCATATCTGTGGCACAATTATAAATTCATATATATTTTTGTCAAAAGTATTTCATTGACCAACCTCCTAAAAAACAAAATGAGGTTGTGTGAAAAAAAGAAGAGAAAAAAAAAAAGTATTCCGAGTCCTAAAAATAAATAAAAAAAGGGGACTCGTGAAAAGAAAACTGAGTATGATGTTGTCTTGCATTGATCAAATCTTGGGAAGTATTGTGTTGTTCTTATTCATACGTGTGTGCGACTTGAGTTCATTTTGATGTGATGAATTGATAGATTAATTCCTCGATCTCATTACCCATTGATATCCCTTTTCCTACCCCAACCATGGCCCCATTACAACCTTTAATTAAGACCTTTGATTATGAACGTTAATTTCTTGATGAATTGTGGAGTTGATTTGATTTGCTTGCAAGCCTATGGGGTTCGTCGTTTACTTCATGTGCATTGAGTGAATATAGCCTAAACACTTGAGGGTGAGAGCTTTTACTTATATACATTCTACTTTTAGTGAGGTTAGTTGGTTCTTGCATACTTTGAATCCGACGTAGTTGATAACACGGCTAAGTGACTTTTGCGCTAGTGAGTATTTCAATTCTTGGTTTGGATATATGCTTGAGGACAAGCATAGGATAGATGTGGGGGAGTTGATATATGTGATATTAGATAAATATTTTGCTGTCTTTTAGACGGTTTTTGGATGCGAATTTTGTATATGTGCTCCTAATGGTGTGTTTTTGAACTTTCTACTAGGCGTTGAGGAGTTGGCAAAATTTTAGGCATATTGGAGAGAAAAATAGAACGCAAGAAGTCCTTAGACATGATCACGAAGCAGGAAGAATGAAAATTGCGAAAAGGTCCTCCGGGGTTAATTAGCAATTTTAGAATTGTTTGGTTTAAAGTGCAAAGGGGATCTAAAGTGATTAATTGAAAAGGAGATTTAGGGCCAATAAAGAAGGGGAAGAAGAAACACAAAACCACGATCTCACCTACAACCCATTTCTGAAAGAGAAGAGAAGCGAAGGAATAACACTTCGTACGGGAACTTTGGAGAGCAACGCAGAAGAACTTCCGGGCACCTTTTTCTTCATTTCTAGAATTGGTTTGTTGTCGATTTTTAAACTTGAAGGCATGATGAACTCTTTGATTTATTTTATATGTTTTATTGCTATGGATTGCGAGTAGTTTCATTTCTAGTGTAGGTATGAATTGATATTTGGGATTGAAATTGTGAAACTTGGTTTCGATTAGAATTGGTGTTCATCGATGTTGGGTATTTTTAATTCTTCTAATTGATTAATTTAGAAATCTTGAATTGATTATTGCACACGTATCAATTTAGAATTTCATAGCTATATTGGGGATTGGCATACGTAATTGTGTAATTTTCCAATTGGCATAGCAACCTTGAGAAGAACACTCTAGGGAAGAATTAAAATCAATTTTAAACAAATCCTCGTAGGAGCTTGTTAAATTGAATTGGGCCTTTCTATTTTTTACTGCTGTCGAGTTAGAAAATATGGTCGTACCTAGGATTCTTTCCCGATTAGAGAAATAGCTAACGGTCGTACCTTAGCTATCGAAAAAATAAGGAAAGGTTGGTTGTGAACGCTTGTAGATCAACTATAACCAATTTATCCAACTAGTCGATGAATTTGACTTTTAGTCGATGATCAAATTTCATATCCCGAATAAAAAAAAATTCATGTCTATGTTAGAGTTTAATTATATTTGGTAAACTGCTAATTTTGCATTCTAGTTAAGTTGCGTTTATTGAGTAAATTTTATTCTTCTTTATTTAGTGTGATAATCAAATCCCCCCAATATATATTAATATAATTATAATAAATCAAATAGAGAAAGAATTACTGTTTCCCTGCGGAGACGACCATACTCACTACTGCTATACTGCATATTTTGGGACGTAGGAATTGATATTTTATTTTGCAGTTGTGCGACTGGCTAGCAAAAATTTATTGCGAGAGTAATTGATTTAAGTCCCTTGCCTGCTTGGCATGAAGACAATGAAGATTGCTTTAAGACACTATCTAAAAATTAAGATTTTCATTCACGATTACTATCCAGGATTAATAACTCTGCAAGTGGTGTTTGTTGAGAGGTTAATAAAAAGGGAAGCAAGTATCAGGCAACAATTATTAACTGTGACTTTCAAAGGTATTGAATCCGATCTATTGGACATTCATCAGGCAGTTGAAATCATCGCTGAGAGGAATAAACGTTGCTTCGAAGAGGAATTTGCATAACTGGACAAAAAGTTTGAAAAGAAGGTTTGTTTTTTTGTTTTTTTTTTAAAGTTTGTTTGATGGACGTAAACATGTTGCATAAGCTGGTGGTATAGAGTTTATGGAATATTTTCCACCTGCAGTGTATTTTAGGAAAAATGATTTTTGGAAGCCTGTGAGAATTGGGTGGGATTGAGTAGATTGAGCAGCGAACGGTTTCACGAGAAAAAGTAAAAATACTCTAAAGATTACTATTGTTGGCATTTGGTTGACCGATACAATATTACCATTGCAAAGTGGAATATCCCAGTTTCGGAGTTGTTGAAATATAAAAAGTGGGCGTTTGTAAGACTATGCAGCAAATTTGACATACCAGAGGATCAGTTACCACTATGGTTTGATGATAAAAAATGCAACACGTATAAATTGTACGTTATCCATGACAGAAATAAAAGTAGAATATGTGTATATTTTGGTCAGCCTGTAGATTAACAAGCCAGTGAATATTGGTGAAATACTAAGTCATGATATCACCCCGCGAGATGATACATTTGGGAATGTCTTATGTCATGGACATCTTATTGTCGAGCTTTGCCTAGCTACATGAGTTACCATGCTGTCTAAAGAACCTCTTGCTAATCTTCTACCAAAAAAAAAACTTTTCTCCATGAC